TGATAATGTCATGTAATATGGACGTTCATATTTAGAAAAATCGGTATGTTTATACACATGCATAAAAAAATTCAAAATTCTTTTTAAAATATTGTGATTGCTAAATTGTCGAAAGCTTTTCCATTTATGACTAGTAAATATAGTTTTTACTTAATATCAGATACAAAATACAGAATTTTAAAAGATTTAAAACTTTATAAATTATTATAATTAAAATTTTAAAAAATGAAATTGATTCATAAAAAAAATAAATTTTTCTTACAATAATAGTTTCCATAATATATCTTATTCATGAAAGCAATTAAAGCTCCTCTAATTAAATAATGTCTTAGTTTTGTCATATTTTTTATTTTATGATTCAGATTAGATGTTCTGTAAATTGGGGTCTGGTTTGACGAAAATATTGGTATTTGGATGACTCATCCCTATATAATTAATATAAACATTTTAAGCACTATAAAAAATAATTTTCTCGAAATTTCATAAAATTAAATAAGTGGGGAAGTAAAAATAAATATTCTATCAAAATTTTCTAAAAAATATTTTATTTGTGAATTAGTCCTGAAAGTTCCATTAAAATCTGACAATTATTGCAAGAATTTCCAAATCAATGTGTTTTTTTTACTTACAAGAAGTCACTAAAAAATCACATACTAGTTTACGGTCACCTGTCAGCACAAAAAAAAAAAAAAAAAAATTTTTAACAAAAATTTCAAAGGTTCATAAAAAAGATTAAAATATATAATTTAATAATCCAAAAATTCTTTGGCCTTTCCTTTAAAGATTTTAATTATAAAACATTATTTTTATTAAATTTTAGGCATTTTTTCATCCTGTATGAGCTTTTATATCATAAAATGACATATCAAATGCATAAAATATTAGTATAGTTAAAAAATATCCTATAACAATTTTTTGGCAAATTTACAATTCCATAAGGACCGATATCTGTTTGACGTGTTTATTACAAAAATTTTTTCTTTCATTTTATTTGAGCTGTTAATAGTCACATAATTTGAGCTCCTTTGCTTCTGATAACTTTAAATATGTTTTTGTTTTTTTAATAGCACTTTTCATTATAATTTACTGTTCTCTATTCTTGCTTTGTGCATTATGCCCAAATACTCTACACTTCTGTTTTTTAGCATGAAGCTTATAAATATGACAAATCAAATTAGTTTTAAAATGGTTAAGCATATTTTAAGCAAGAAGGGAGGTCAAGATTTTCTAACAATGTTATTCACCTCCTTTCAATTTACAAAAAATAACTGAAATTTCTAACTGTAGGGTTATTATCTTAAGCATGAAATAAGACTAAAACTTGTGAATTTATTAAAAATGACGAGGCTCATCTAAAAAATACTTGATATTAAGAATAAGCAAAAGTCAAGAATTTGTTTTGTGATTGTTTTCAGCTTTAAAAAGGGTTTCACTTTTTTATTTTGGGGTCATTTTTTTATTATTGGATTCATACATTTTTATTCAATTTTCTAACACTACTTAAATAGACTGGATTACTTGAAAAAAAAAAAAAATTAGGAAAACTTTTTGTGGGAATAATCTTTGTATTCAGTTGTTCAGAAAATGTTCGATTTTAGAATCAACTTTATTCCTGAATTAATATCAAAATAGTAATCCTGAACATCTAATTATTTCTGAAGTAATAGTTCAAATAGGAACATTTATTCATCTTTGCCATCAAGGCTATTTATGCCTTTATTAAAAATAACTTGGACACCAAGAAATTTTTGAATGCAATTTCTGCATCTTCCTTGCAACCGAATGTCTTTTGGCTTAAAACATGGTCAAGATGTTTGAAAAAATGGGTGAGAGGTCAGGAAAATATGCGTGTGACAAAATCTTGTATTCCAAGTTGTTAAACATCTGCAGTGTCATCGAGCATTGTCATGAAACAGAATTGGACCACATCGATTAACCAATGCTGGTCGTATTTTGCTCAACTGAATGATCATTTCATTCAGTCGCTGACAGTAAACTTTGGCAATAATACTCTGGTTAGATTCCAGCGCAGTTATGTGCCATGCATGATATATGCTTAGGCAATCATGTATCTTTCGATACATGACAGATGAGGCAGATTTCTTCTCACAGCAGGTTGCCATTTCTTTCTGCAGTAGACCAGTTGCCATCCAGGGCAACAGAACCCGGTCTATCCTGCTATTTACCCATAGCTGAGGGGAGAATAAGAAGATTAATACCTTTCCCAAGTGTATTAGCATGTAAGTGAATGTAATGGATTCAACTGGAATTTGAACTTGGCTCTCGGATTCCTCAATCCGAGCTGCTATCCATTATTCCACCATGCCTCCTCCTGGTTAGATTCCAGAAATCTGTAATAGATAATGCCAATCGTTGTCCACCAGATAGTCACCATAATCTTCTGTTGGTGCAATTTTAGTTTTAAAGTGTTTGGGTGCTTCATCATGATCATGATTGTTTACGATTGTTATCAAGGATCCATTTCTCATCAGAAGTCACTATTCGATCAAGAAATGGATTTTTTGAATTTTGCAGATGCAGTATCAAACACACTTCAAGTTGTCAAACTCTTTGACTTTCACTGAGTTCATGTGGAACCCATTTATAGAGTTTCTTCGCCATGACAATTTTCTTGAGATGGTCAGACATTGTTGAAATGCTGACACCCATTATCTGAGACATTTCTCTGACACTTTGACGTGGGTTTTTTTCAACTAGTGTTTTCAGATATTGATTGTCAATTGCAGATGGATGCCCTCTACTACCTTGATCTTCAAGACTCTTATCCCTCCTGTGGAATTTCAAAAACTAGCACTATACTGTCCAAACACAAATGGATCCTTCACACCATGCTCTGTTAATGTTGGCAGCAGTTTGAGAAGAATTATAACCAAACTTGAACTCATGCAAAAAAATTAAATGCATCTCTTTTTTCATGTTCGAAATGAGGGGTTAGATAATGTGATTGATACAAAATTAACAAAGAGGACACTTTAATCATTAAGAATGAGTAGTATATTTTTATGTTATAATAATATATCAGAACACAAAAGGTTTATTTTAAAATTGCACATTATTTTCTGAACAACTTAATTGGCACTTCTTAGACTTTCCTTATGACATTGATTTCTTATTGTTTTAGAAGTGGAGACTTATTTATAATATTGATAGTGTCAAATCAATTCAGGACATTTTACAGAGTTATCTGTACATAATGTTATTTACAAATGTCAAGTTTGAAAGTGTGGTAATATCATTGATATCTGCATATTATTTTAAGTTTTGAACTTTTCTTTTAAGTTTTAAAAAAATTTTTTAACTTTTTTTTTTGCATATGGTTTTTTTTTCAGAAAAACATGCACAAACATTTGAGGCTAATAATTATTTATCTTAAATGAAGAATAAACAGATGCTTTTATTAACTTATGTAAATTTTTGTTTTTTAATTAAAAAAACAATGATTATATCCATTTTTGTTTTTTTTAAAAGAAATCTTTTGGAAATCATCCCCAAATTCTGTTTTTGTATGCAAAAACAGAAGAGTTCAATAACTCTGTAAAAGTCAAAGATTGATTTGACACCATATTGATAGTATAAATAGCACTACCACTTCTAAAATGATAAAAAAAAATTAAATCAGTATTTTTCAATTGTGATATGTGTTGCAAGCTAAGAAAGGTCTTCAGCTAATCTACAAAATCTATTTCTCCCCTCAAAAATATTCCCCAATTTTTTTACAAGTAGCCCTTTCTTTAAATAGTGTTGATTTTTCTTTGCTGAATTTTCTGTATTTTCATATATCTTAACTGGGAGTTTGTTTTTAAAATGTTTCACTTTTCTGTTTGGTAGCTAAGCTATTTTTTGTTTACAGTAGAATGTTTTCCTATTAAATATAATTTTTCCTGATGTCCTACTTGCGTGTATTGTCAAAATCTTTTTTTCTTTTCCCTTGTTAAACTGCAGGTATGTATTTAAATACTTGCCTGTACACCAAATAAAATACATTAAAAATATTCTTATCCCTTGCTACAAAATAATACCAGAGGTTAAAAAAAAAGATTTAACTTCAACAATAGTGTTTAAATTAATTATTTAATAAAGTATTTATTTATTAATTAAATAAACATTATTATTATGTTGGCATGGTTTAAATATTATTTGTAACTAGAATTGACGTTGACAAAAACAAAAGAATTAATAAAATTTTAATAAGTAAAAGTTTTCAAAAATATTAATCACGAACAGAAAGTAGTACCTGAACAGGCTATTAATTATGTTTTTGAAAAGTTTTATTGTAGAAGTTCCCATAAAACATTAACCTAATAACCTGGAGTTATATTCTTAAACAGCCTTGTCAGATCAAGACTTTCATATGGATGTCATGCATGATATCAAACTCATTAAGAGATATCTAAACTGTCAGGTGTAAACAACTGCTTTCTAAGATCGAGGGTTAAAAATGGAACAAATGAAGATCTGACTGAGGACCATACATTTTCGAACTATGGGGACCGGCACTTGTGGAATCACAAAGAACTGTACCAAATAACAAAAATCATATCACTTGAAGACTTTCAACAGCAACAACAACTAAAATGTATAGCACATATAACTTGAAGGGAAAATAATGACATAAACAAGATGTTGACATTCCACACTACTTCAAACAAAAAGTTAGGAAAGAAACCCCTATTAATATTAGAAAAGTGATAACAGTGAACTTAAGAAATCTATTTTTCTGAAAAATTGTTTTAATAAAAAGATCTTATAAATTGCAAATGGTAGTGGCACTGAATCCTTAATGTTTCCTTATAAATAAACAGCTAATATTAATAACAGCATTAGAGATAAGGAAAACAGATACTACAATTTGATCCCAGCCTGATGGCCAGGGAGTGAAGAAAAGTGTAAGTAGTACTGACTGCTTGACCAATAAATGCTGAATGTTTCCTTATAAGGAAACAACTAATATTACCATGACCATGAAATGGATATCATGTTGAAACATTGGTACCTGTTTGATAACCAAAGTTAAGCAATGTCAAGCCTGGTTAGTACCTAGATGGGTGACTGCTTGGGAATACCAAGTGCTGTAAACTTGGATGTGCAGGTGGTGTAATGGATAACAGTTTGAAATTGTTAATCGGAGTGCAGAGTTCCAATTTCAGTTGGGTTCATTATATTTGCTTACATGCAAATACCCTTGAAAAAGATATGAATCTACCACTTCTCCTCCCTCATCTATGGGTTAATTAGTAGTACTTGTATCACTAAATCATTATTATCTCAAAAAAAAAAAAAAAAAAAATCTTACTATCTAAAAATATTTTCTGTCTTTAACCTTTAACATTAGATGATTTTGTTTGCAAAGCAAACATTTTATCCTGCCACTGCAAGTGACACAGATGAATGAATGATAGCATGTTTAAATTTTGCAGTTGTGTTGTCATATCCTGCTATGGCAACAGAGAATGACCATGACTGAAATTAAATAGTGCAGTAGAGGAGCTTTGAAAAACAATGCAGTGGAAAGAAAAGTAGTGAATAATGCAGTGTGTTCAAGGTTAAATAACCTGCAAAATGTTGATAAGCCATAGAAAATGAACCAATTGTAAAGTGGATGCTAAGGCTACTGAGTACACAATGGTAAAGGCTGGAAAATGAGTGACTGAGACATTGTGATTAAAAACAAATAAAATGGTAAAAAAGAACCAATATGCAATGTGAATATCCCTATGTGTGTGTGTGTGTGTGTGTGTGTGTGTGTGTGCTAGACACTTTACAGAACATAGATACATTTTGATTTTAGGCAGAGGGATGGGGCATGACCAAGGTGATCCTTCTACAGATATAAAGATTACCCTGGGCATGACACTTTGATCATCAGACAGAGCACATAACAACTACTCTGACCATTGGTGAAGTGTCAACCTGTATGTAAATAATACAGATTTTTTTTTTTTTTTTAATGAACCCTGCTGGTTGTGTAATTAAATTAATGAATTATAATACCATAACCAATACTGTATGGACTTTTCTCCTCTTAAATGTGTATGGTATTTATTTTCTAAGTTAATAGTCAGTCAGTCAGTTATGTGCCATGTGTAAGACGATCATGTATCTTTCAATATATGACTGACGAGGCAGATATTTTTCCTGCAGTAGGTTGCCATTTCTTTCTGCGCTAGACCAGTTGCCATCCAAGGCTATAGAACTTGGTCTGTTCTGCTAGTTACCTATAGCTGGTGGGGGAGAAGAAGAGGATTAATACCTTTCCCAAGGGTATTAATGGATTCAACTGGAATTTGAACTCGACTCTCTGATTTCTCAATCCAAGCCGCTATCCATTACTCCACTGTGCCTAATAGGTAATAGGTAGTTTCTTTTTCTTATGCCATGTCCATTCAGGATGTAGGTAATCATTGCTCTCTATAGATTCTTTTTTTATTATCTATATATTACTACAAATTCTTAGGCAAGTTCACTGTTGAATTCAAAGTAGTCATTCTACTAGTTGCAATGTGTCCCAGAAATTTCAACTATCTCTTCCTGATTTTAAGTATGATGAGTGTCTATCTAGTTTCTATTTCCTTCAGAATTTCCTTGTTGTCCACATGTTCACTGCATGGTATTCTCAGTATCTATTTGTAGAACTGCAAAGCTCCACCTACTTCTCATCCTGAGTATGACGATAAACTACATCCATATCCTGGGTAAGATGACAAACTACGTCCAGCAGCAAGGCCTCTGATCAGGAGGTTTGAGGAGCGTGGAACCACCTCTTAATTGCTGATGTTCCCAGGACCACACTGACCCGGGTTGGTAGCACCTGTTAGGGTCCCAGCTATGGGTAAATAGTTAACTCCGAAACTGGGGTTAAAACACTATGAAAGTGTAAAAATAGGTTACAAGCAATACATTTTTGAGGTAAAAATATTACCAGAAATAGATTTTTGTCAAAACAGAATATTACCAGAAATAAAAATTTTGTCGGCATTAAATAAACCATTGAGGTTGATATGCCGTAAAACAAACCAAACCAATCCACCTGCTTCAGTTGCTATATCTGCTAGCTTTGTTGAATAGCACCGACCTTATGGCCTTCCCAGCTGGGGTTGGTTTGTTGTCTCTGTAGGGTTGATTTGAGTTTCCCAAAATCTTATTGGGGTTGACGGTGATATCTAGTGGTGGACTAAAATGTACATTGTGTACCACAGATAACAAAATCAGCAATTCTTGACTGCAGTCATGGTTAAGTTTGTTTTGCATCTGAATCAAGGCTGGAATATTTCATTTTTGACACTGAGAATCCCCCAAAAGAAGTTCAAAAGGATTAAATGAAAAATTTAAGCCATTTTAAGGAATTTTGGTTCTTCACTGTAGACCAAAATTTCTAGACCTAAACCCCAATTCTTTAAATAGAAATTTGAAAGTTGTATTTTAATATTTCTCTTACATTAATATAATTTCATAATTGAATTGTGGGCACATAGCCAAGTGGTTAGAACGTTCATTTTCTGATCATGAGAACTGGGTTCGAATCTTACCATGGCCAATTTGTCAGGAAGGTGATTTTTTCATGTTATTGGTCTGGAGGAGGTGATCCCAGTGTGCAGCACCTTTGGAATGTGCCTGAAAACCATACCACAGTTGACCCAAGCCTTGTGAGTGAAACTGAGTAGACAGTATTCTTTGGGAGCCATTGATGGTTGTGCTAGCACAAAGTCAAAAGTCAGCATGACTGAGGGTTGACTATTGATCATACTAGATAACATTGCTATCTGCCAGAAAATGTAACGAAGGTCTGCTCAGCATAGTTGCAGTATAAACTGCAGGTAGGTTGTGTGGGTGTTGAACAAACACAAATGTGCTCGAATGTAACATGGATCGGCTAGCTGCTCTAGTAGATGGACATCTTCGGATACAAGTGGCCACCCATTTAATTGAGTTGAAAATCATTCAAAGGGCTCAAAAACCACAAGTTTCTGCTTGGCTATATTGTGCAAGCTCACTTCTGTCTTCATATAATTAAATATTTAGTCCTTTCTTGCATCAGTTCAGCACACTTTTTCTTTTATATAGAACAAAATTTTCCCTTTGTCTTATTATTTTGCTTAGTTTTTTTACTATTCCAATGCATCAGGTTTTTGTATCACAATTTCCATCATCTGTTACTACCCTACCTAGATGGTTAGATTTCTGTTCCTGCTTGATTCTGAGGTCTCCAATTCGAAGCTCACACCTTTGACTGCTTCTCCTGTTCTGACGACCTTACATTCTGTCTTCTTATAGTTAATGGTTAGTCCTATAGAACTTAGAAATTCAAATGGATCATGTAATCTTGGCCAAGAGGTCAGAGCTAGTGATTGTAAACAAAGAAAGGAAGACCTGTCTGTGGATGCTATTTTTTTTACATAGAGAAAGATTGTTAAAAACTGAATAAGTATTCAGGACTTGCCAACTGAAAAAAAATATCATGGAATGTAAGAATTGTATCCATTATTATTAGCATGCTTGAAATGGTCTTGGAGTGATGAGCAAGAAGAATAGAACAATTGGAAAATCAAGGAAGAATTGAAAACATCCACTTAATATGATTAAAATTAATAAGGATACTGAAAAGAGTGCTGGAATATTGAGGAGACAAGCTGTATGTTGATTTCCATTGAAAACCACCAATTACTACTGATTAGAGAGTAGAAATAATAAATACTGAGGAGAGTGCTACAATATTGGGGAGACATGCTGTCACTTGACTGTTGTAAAAAGTCAACAAATCTAACATGTTCAAAAACTCGGCATATGAAAATAATTGTATGTAGTTAAATCAGTAAGTCTGCAGCTTTATAATGAAAACAAAAAGCATTTTATACAACAAATATTTATTTTTGAACATAACCTCCTTCCACAACAATAAATTTAATTCAATGGTGAGATTCAATCACATATAGGTCAAACACTATGTATTGAACAAGTTCAGATCAAAATAAATAACCACGTATCAGGGTCTAACATGCTAATGAACAATTTGTGTGTCTCTTTAGAAAATATTACATTTCAGTTCATCTTGTCAAGAATGAAAATAAACACGGCGAATACCAACATTCAATTTCATCAAAATGTTTCCAAATCATAAAGGAGAAAATGTTCCGGGTGAAGTTCACCCATTGTATATTCATAAACGGTAAGTTTCCAGGGTGACAACAGTCCCAATCTATGACAAGCCATGGTTACGACACAATCTCCATTAATCATGTTTCAACTAATGCTATTTTCCTCATACATATGATGCAACTGGCACAGCATAAGAATATGGCCCTATCGTGAGGAAGGTGACATAAGTCAGTTCTTGGTTTTACGCCATATTGGACTGTTGGTGATTGAGGCTTATTCATGGAAAATTATGGGTATGTTCTGACTTACACAGAAAATTATGTTATAATGCATCACAATGGATTACAATTCTGTCACAAGTTGAGGACCCCTGTATTTACAAGATTCAGATGAAGGTCATCTTAAGCTTAAATGATATTAAAATTGGATAATCTTCACTTTAAAAACATATATTCAGATGATCTTTGCTATAAAAAATTCATATATTCAGATATTATTCCCATAATAAATTTAAGAGAGACATATTCAAATGATCTTTACTATAAAAAATATAAATCTTCATATTAACATCACCTTAAGATACTCAAAAAATTATGTATTCCAGTGATGTTCCCATAAACAAACTCCTACATTACTTCCTTGATTATCTGGACAACTTGAGACAGGGATTTAGAAAAAACATGCTTGCATAATTCAAAATTCCAGATAATTGAATACCTAAATTATCAAAATTCCAGATAATTGAATACCTAAATTATCAAAATTTCAGATAATTGAATACCTAAATTATCAAAATTCCAGATAATTGAATACCTAAATTATCAAAAAGAATTAATAAAATTATCAAAATTCTTCCTTAAAAATTCCAGAAATTTAACATTTATACCATCAATTAATATTTTCAAAAAATTTCAGATAATTGAATACCTTTATCAAAATTCCAGATAATTGAATACCTAAATTATCAAAAAAGAATTATTAA